TTCAGCCCTCTCCCACGAACACACCAGCACTGGTTCAAAAAGCTTGCATGTTGTCATCTTGGAAACAGTACAGTGCATGGTGGGGTGGGACCTACAACAGGAGGGTTTGGTGGCTGGGGGCAGGGAGAGGATGGGGGTGGGAGTGCAGGGGAGCAAGAGCAAGTCCTCTGAGACCTGGTCCTGGGAACATTGTGGGGAGCTAGTCCTCTTCCTCCTCCCCACTGTTCATTGAGCATTTACTCAATGGCAAGTTCTTTACGGATATTTTTTGAGTTAATCTTTTTAACTTTTATGAAGCGCTCTTACTGTCCCTGTTTTACTGCAAAGGGAACTGAAGTTTAGGAAGGTTAATCTGAAGGTCACACAGCCAGTAAATAGTGGATCTGAGGACGGAACCCAGCTCTGATGCGTCCCGAAGGGCACGTTGTTGATCACCGGGTCACTGCCACCATTTCCTCCTCTTGCCTCAACTTTGCGGTGGGTGCTGCTTGTCGGGGAAACTTTGCAGTTTGAGAGGTGCTCAGAGCCCCCTTCAAGGCAGTAATCTGTGGGGCCTCTGAGGGTTGGGGGTTTTAGTAAAGCCGTGTTCCAGTGCTTTGTCCAGGAGACCCGAGCAAACACAGGTGTGTTTTGTTTCCCAGGGCTAAGCCTGGCTTCTCCAGGAAAGGGGACTGGCTGCTTTCAACAGCGCTTTTCCTCTTTCAAAAGCAGTGTCTTTTTACAACAGCAGCCTCTTCCTCCTTTATCTCACCCCCAACCCCCTCCACGACTGGGTAGTAAACAGTGAGAATTTACAGCCCCCAGCTGGGCGGGCGCAGGGCGGTGCCTGCTAGGACCCCGGGTGTTTCAGGTCACATTGAACCGGAAAGCGTCTGTTCGAGTTGCTGGGGCTGACACCGTTCCCCTCAAGGGAATAGAAAACCTTAGGCTGAAGGTTCAGTGCTGAGGGCCTGGGATTGGGTGCTGGAGATGGCCAAGTTGGTGATAAATGAGAAAAGACCGTCCACCCCAGTGTGAACGCACACTCCAGTGTGCATGCACAGCTTGAAGACACTGGGCAGACCAGTGTCAGCTGGGAGGGAATGTGCAAAACCAAAATAAATTATATTTGTTTTAAAGAGTTAAAAATCCTTTAATATTTTTTCTACCAATAAAAAGAAGTTAAAAATAAAGATAAAGGCTAAAGGATAAAGGTGCAGTGCCAGCACTGGAGGAAGGATGCTTGATACATATGCTTCCCTCCCCTGTTGTATCCTCTTTCCTCCGAGCTGTCTTCTGTGTCCAGAGGGTCCCTAAGAGCCCTGTTTGTCCCATCACCCTCTGCCCTGAGAGCATTCAGCCTCACCCACAAGGTACAGTTGGATCTCCCAGGACCCTCTCAGCTTTGCATCCAGTTCCCCACTTGTTCCTTCACCTGGCTCCAGAATTCTTATGTCCACTAGGATGTTTGCTGCACAGAGGCAAGGACTTTTGCTGTTTAGTTCACTGCTGTGTCCCCTGACTCTGTGCCCTGGGTCTCTGGGATATGAAGGTGAACATTGAGTGTCTACCTCCAGGAGCTCCCAGGCTGGGGGTGTGGAGCTGACAAGTGGCTAGACATAATGGGTGAATGCAGGGTACTGTGGGTGTATGTCCAGCCCAGACATAGTAGGTGCCTATCAGGAAGGCTCCCTGGAGGAGGTGATATCTCTACCCAGTCTTGAAAGATGAGTGAGTTAGCCAAGCAAGATAGAGAGGACATTGGAAATCAGTGTATGTCTCTCATCCACCCCTGATTTGTGTGCCAGTCTTCCCAAAGCTCTGGGATAGCACAATACGCTGTTTCTCTTCATCATGGGAGTAGGCTGGCCTGCAGAGTGGAGATATGTTTGCAGGAAGAGACAGGTATTCCGTATTGGTAAGTTACTAGTGAGACATGATTGAAAGATTAAGCCCAGAGTCATGGGGTATCATAATGTTGTCCCTTTCTCCCTGCCTGTGTGGAGTGATAGCTCCTGTCCCCCTGTTCTCTTTCTTGCTCACAGGCTCTTCAACTTTTGCTTCTAAATCTAAGCAGCTATTTCTTTTCCCCTAATACTCGCTGATGTGATGTTCTTCCCTCTTCCTGCCCACTCATTGCCAGTTCAACTTCAGAGTTCCCCAGGGCAGGAGGAAGGGGGTGGGGAGCATGAGGCTGTGACCTTTCCCATGAGGAAGAGTATTTCTAGTGTGGTTCCTACTATCACATGAATGATACTCTTCCCACCCTTTGAATTTTGCAGGGCAGGTGGGAAGAGAGGTGAATGGCTCTGGTGTTGGGTAAGCCCCATGTAATTGGTAGTGCCATTTGGTGCAGAGAAGTCTGGAGTTGCCAATGAATGATTTAGATCTAAAGCAAGGGAGCTCTTCTCTCTGGTTGCCATAGACTGGAGACAACTGGAGAGAGATACCTGTTTTAGGTGTGTAAAACTGAGATGCATGCTTTTCTCATGTTTGTTGAGACACCCTGTTTCTGTTTGAACCACCAGGTGGTGCTGTTGGCACAGGATGGCTTAGTTGCTGCCTCACCTGATCATGATCTGCTTAATAGAGAACTATGAAGCTGATGGTCTTTGATTTAACCTCCTTACGTTCCCTTTCTGGAACTCCTCATGCTTTTGCAGCTTAAGGTGCCCCTATCCCCACCCCAAACACACACAGATACACATTGGGGTGCTTACTCTTCTTCCCCCTTATCCTGACACCCTGCATCTGAATTCTGTTCTCAGCGAAACTTATTACTCCTTTCTCTTAGCTGGCTGCTAATGAAATGATTTAATATACTAATTTACCCTAAGGTATCAACAGGGCTTAATATGTTACTTCTGGGTTACTCTGTCTTAAAACTGTGAAGATTGAAACTAAGTCTTATAACTTAAGAGGTAACTTATAAGAAGGGAATTGTGGCATTTTCAAATGTGGGTGTGCATGATGTCTGTGAGAGAGGGCTGGGAGGCGGACGTTAAGGAAATTTGCTGCTTCATCTATCCTGCTTGCTCCCACCCATGTAGCAGGCTCTGTGTAGGGTCCCTCGGCTGCTGCCCTATGGGGAGCTCAGTGCTTGGTTGACGCTGTGAATGAGACCATGGTGGGGCAACTCTGTTGAGAGGCTCTGCTGAGTAGGTGTCCACCGCCCACCCCCCGGCACTGTTAAACAGCTTGTCCAATGAGGATGACAATACCAGTCCCCTGACCACTTGCCCTTCTTCTCTCTGCCCAGACATTCACGGCATGGTGTAACTCCCACCTCCGGAAGGCGGGGACGCAGATTGAGAACATCGAAGAGGACTTCCGGGATGGCCTGAAGCTCATGCTGCTGCTGGAGGTCATCTCAGGTGAGGCGGACCCTGGCCCAGGATGAGATGCTGTCTATTGGTGCTGCCTGACACCATGGCATCGCTCTGTCCATGGGCGCAGCTGGTTTTGGGACTCTTGAAACAAGTTGGGGATGACATGTATGAATTCCCCCTAGGAGTGTGGGTCTGAGTTCTGGTTCTGGTGCCAGCCATCCAGGTGCCTTGGACAAATTGCTTTGCCTTTCTGTTTCAGCATCCTTGTTTGTTAAAAAAAAGGGAGGCTTTGAAGGAACTGAGGTTCTTTCTCCTCCCCAGTGCGATTCTGTGGCCAAGAATGTTAACCATGGGTGACTGTCTCCAAATCTTGGCTCCATTACTACTTATCTAGCTGTATCCAGGTGACCCAGGCCATTCCCCAGCCCCCGGTTTGTCCAGATGTCTGGAGGGACAGCTCTACTGGAACACACATCTCATCCTGCTTATGAATGCCTTTCTGCTACCATCCCGTAAAGAGTGGGAGTCCCGTGAGTCTAGCCTTGGTTGATACACTGGGCCATGTTAGCTACTGTCTTCACTTTCTCTTCACCTTGATGCCAGTGAGCCTTAGACCTAATCCCAGCCCGGGCCTCTCCCTTGAGCCACCTCTCAAATGCTGAACCTCGCTGGGCGTCTCCACCCCAGTGTCCCACACGGTCCTCTCAGCATGTCCAAAACTCTGTGCTTGTCACTCCTGCCCTAGCAAACCTCTTTTCCCTCCCAGAGTCTTGTTCTCTGCACCCAAGCTGGGATCATAGACAGTTCTTCTTTGCAGCTTGTTACTGATGTTCTGTTCATTCTGATTCCTTCTTCTCAATCCTTCTTTTAACTCCTGCTGTTGTGGTGTCAGTGTGGCCTGTGTCAACTCTCACCTAGATGATCCCATAAAGGCCTTTACCCCAGCTCCTCCTGGCAGTCCACCCCCATCGCTGTAGCCAGAGGGCTCGCCCGACAGTCAGTCCAAATATGGTCACGCTCTTCCCTGCTCACAGCCCTTAGCCCACAGTGCCTCTCCAGGGCTTTGAGCCTGCAGGCCACATTCTTTAGCATAGCTTATGGAATCCTGCATGAGCTGGCACCTGCTTTGTTTTCAACTCACTATTCCCAAAAAGGTATCAGACCTTAGATCCTCTGCCGGTTGGCGGTGGGGGCGGGGAACATGCAGCTCTCCTCAGATGACATCCACTTTCTGTTCCCTGTGCCTTTGCACAAGCTCTAACTGCCCTTTTTTTTAAAAGTAGTTTTTTCTACTTTCAGATAAAACCTGTGTATATGGTTAAATAATATATAACAAAAATGTATCATTTTCGCCATTTTAAAGGTTGCAGTGCAGTGGTATTAAATGCATGCACTCACTGTTGTGCGGCCATCACCACTGTCCATCTTCAGGGCTCCTCACCGTCTGAAATCGACACCCTACACCTGTTAAACACTAGCTCCCCGCTCCCCCTGGCCCTCCCCTGGCAACCACCATTCTACTTTTTGTCTCTGATTTGACTCCTCTAGGTATACCTTGTACGAGTAGAATCATACAGTATTTTTCCCTTTGTGACACTGGTTTATTTCACTTACTAGAATGTCTTTGCGGTTCATCCGTATTGGAGCATGTGCCGCCATCCCTTTCCTTTTTAAGGCTGAATCATATTCCATTGTGTGTATGCCCTACAGATATAAAATGGCTGCCTACATTTTGTTCATTCACCTGTCGGTGGACACTCAGGTTGTTTGTACCTTTTGGGTATTGTGAATATTGCTGGGACACGGTGTACACAATACTTTTAAAATCCCTCTTTCAGTTCTTTTTTGGTATATTCCCCAAAGTGGAATTGCTAGGTTACATGAGAATTCTCTGTTTAATTTTTTGAGAAGCCACCATACTGTTTTCTTCTAACTGCCTTTATTTATTTATTTATTTATTTATTTATTTATTTTTCTCTTTTCTTTTTTTCTTTGAGATAGGGTTCCACCATGTTAGCCAGGCTGGTATTGAACTCCTGACCTCAGGTGATATCCCCACCTCAGCCTCCCAAAGTGCTAGGATTGCAGGTGTGAGCCACCGTGCCCGGCCTCTAACTGCCTTTTAGAATGTCCCTGCTTCCTACCTCCTCTACTACCCTTCCCCAGTTTTAAACAAACCTGGCCTTACTATTTATCATTCTTCAAAACACAGCTTGAGGGTGTCCTTCAAGAAGGCTTCACCCCTCCTCTTTCCCCTAATCTGAGTGGGCTGTGCCCAGCCCGCACCACCGCCTCCCACCCCCTGCCCAGCTCCCCAGCACCTCTAATACCCCATTAATTCCTCTGCCGTATCTTTTACCACAAAGTGTAATCATTTTTGGTTCACTTGTTTTCTTCTCTGCTCCACACAGCTCCTTGGGGCAGGCCATCTTCTCTCTGTGTCCCAGGTGCTTCGAACAGCACCAGACATGTAGGTGGTGCTCTGGGAACATTAGAACGACTGAGTGCCCAGAGCTGGGCTTGGTCTGCATGATACCCAGTGTGTTCCTGCTGCATGGGTCTGACCTGTGCCCAGGGGAACCTGTGCGTGTCTGTGAAGCATGTGTCTCTTTCCCAAGGCTGGGGAGGATCTGTTCTATGAAATGATCTGTTCTCCCCTGGACAGGAAATGCTGGGGTACCTTCTTCTCCTGATCATCGTTGGAGATGGGTAGGATGCCCCAGGATGAGGAGAAGGAGGGGATGCTGCCTACAGAGATTCTCAAAGTGTGGTCCTTGGACTACCCACGCCAGAATCAGCAGGATTGCTTGTCAAAATGCCGATTTCCAAACCTTACCCCAGCCCTCCTAATCACAAACTTAGTGAGAGGGGGAAAGGGGTTGGACAGCCACAGATTAGCAAGTTCTCCAGGTGATTTTGTGGTGACTGACGGTTGAGAACCACTGGCCCAGGTCTGGGAAGCTTTTCCCGTTCTCCCATGTTTAACCCTTGCCTCCTTCACTGTCCTTTGCAGAAGCCCCCTTCCGGCCAGTGTGCGCAGCTGCTGAATGGCTGGGGCACTCCACTTAGCTGGACAGGCCCCAAGAACTGGGGCTGTAGCAGGAGCAGCCTTCCAGGGAGGGACATGGTGCTGCCTGCATCCATCCTGTGGGGAGGGAGCCCCTGTGCCATCTCCTCTGGACAGGAAATGCTGGGGTACCTTGCTGGGCTGCCCCCAGAGCCTTGGGAGGGCCCCAAGTGGAAAGTCTTGATTTAATTTAAAAAACAGCTGTGCTTCCCTGGGAGCTGACAGCCAGATCCCATCTGTGGCAGGAAGTCTGCTGTCTTCCAGAAGCTAGCGGGCTGCTGGGAGGCCACCTGGAGAGGTGCTGCTCTGACAGGGTGGGCTAGCCCAGAATCCCAGTGGCTGGTCCCTGGAGCTCTCACAGCCAGACTGTCGGCCTGCTGGGGAGACAGTGGGGCTGGTCGGGAGATCAGGGCAGGCACAAGGGGCCTGAGTTCCAGGCTCTGCGATGGTGGGTCTCAGCCTTTTGGGGTCCTTGGCCCCTTAGAGACCCTGAAAGCTATGTACCCCTTTCCTAGGTATGGCCACATGCTGCACTTAGAAAATTCTCAGAGGCTCCTGGATGCTCGTTGTTCTGGGATAAAAGCACTCTTAATGGGGGTATTTGGAGAGCCAGCTCCTCTACCTCTATTTTCTTGAAGGTTCTGACCTTGAAACCTGAGCAGCAGAAGCTACTGTGTGGAGTCTGGAGGTGGGGGTGGAGGGTTGACCTGGAGCTGAGCCGTGGGTGCCCATGGGAGGCAGCATAACAGGACAAGAACTGCAGTTCTGCTATAGGCAGCCCATTTAAATACCAGGGAAGTTCATACTTGAGTAACCTATACCCTGCTCCCAGGGCACAGGGAAGGCTAGAAAGGAGTTCAGGGCCTTTGCATGTACTATTCCTTCTGCCTTGATCGTCATTCCTTGCTTTCTTTGCCTGGCTGCAAAGACTCAGACCTTCCTGACCAATCCTCAGTTCCTCCTTCCTCTTCCTCCTCCTCTTTTGAAGAGCATGGATCTTTCTTTGTATATGTTCATTGTATATATTTATTTGTGTTTCTCTGTTTAAGGTCTGTCTCTCCTACTGGACTATAATTACATAAAGGCAAGAAACTGTTTTGTTCACCTCCCTATTCCTAGCACCCAGCCAAATCCCTGGCATGCATAGGGGCTTGATAAATAAATGTTGAGTGGATGCAAGCAGGTTTGGACCTGAGAAGCGGAAGAAAGAAGAGGCAGGGTAGATTCTCCCTCCATTCCCTGCCAGGGTGACATTCTCCAGCCCCTGAGCGGCGTGTGAGCACACACACACGTGCACACATGCACACGCTCCTGCCTAGCTAAGCTGTGCCTTGGATGAGGGTGTAGTGATAGTAGCTGTGGCCCCTGGCTCATAGCATCTCACCTTCCTTTTCCTCCCTCTTGATCCAAACAGGTGAACGCTTGGCCAAGCCAGAGCGAGGCAAGATGAGGGTGCACAAGATCTCCAACGTCAACAAGGCCCTGGATTTCATAGCCAGCAAAGGTGTCAAACTGGTGTCCATCGGAGCCGAAGGTGAGTAAGGCCTGCCTCTGGTGGCCCCAAGGAGTCTGATTTTCTTTGTCCCCCCTGGTTCTCTCAGCCTTTTTTGAGCTGCCTCCTGGGCCCTGCATCACTTGGGGGCATTGGGCAGTGGGTCCCCAACACCTCCATCTGGTCGCCTGTGGGTGCTTTGTATTGCAACAGCGCTTTTCTGGTCTCAGCGCTGCCCAAAACCAAGGACTCAGACCCCTGTTCCCATGCCTGCACCAGCTTAGCCACGTCCTTGCTCTGTGGAGTTCTGTGTGTGTGGCATGCCCCCTCCCCTGTCCACAGGCCTGACTGCACAGCATTGCCTGGAGCAGAGGGTTTGTGTGTGGGCTGGAAAGGGTGTGCAGACGCAGGCTGGTGGAGGCCGGAGGCTGCCCCGAGACTCCCCCGGGGTCCTGGCAAGACTGAAGTCCGTAGGAACATTTTTAATAGCATTTCCCTGCAGTGTAGCTTCCTAACTCTTTCACTTTTACTTAGAAACACTTCCCAAAAAAGCTATCACTAGGATGTCCTTAATGATTAAAAGAAGATAGTGTAATTTCTTGTGTGTGTGGTGGCGGCTCTGAAGAATTGAGAGTTGGTCGTTTAGAGCAGGCAGAAGCTATTCTATCCAGGCCCCTTCAGTCCTGTGACCGTGGATTTAGCAAGTATTTATGGGGCACCTGCTGCGTGAGGTCAGAGACCTGAAAACGAACGAATCTCACTCATTTGAGACACACCCTGGCTGTGAGAGTGGATTGCTCACTCTGTGGCATATACTTAATCCTCCAACAACCCTATGAGGTAGCTCTCATAATTAATTCTCCCAATTTTGCCATAAGAAAACAGATGCTTAAAGAGATTACGTTACTTCCTTAAGGTTCTGCCGTCAATAAATGGCAAAGCCGGAACTCAACCGCAGGTCTTTCTGACGCCAGAGAAATGCCCTCAGAGAGTGGCCTTTCCTTGGAGGGGGCAGGGGTCTTGCTCCTGATAGGTCCATAGGAGCAGACCTCTTCTCTGGTTGAAGCTCACAGTCCCCTCTCTTCTAGAAATGGAGGGATATTTTGTTGATACATCAAATGGAGAACTTTTAACACAGGCTCAGCAAACTGCAGTGCGTGGGGTCAAGTCCAGCTGACTCGGATTTTTGGAAATATTGGAACACAGCACACCCGTGTTAATGTATCATCAGTGGCTTTTGTGCTTCAATGGCAGTGTTGAGTAGTTGCTACAGAGATTGTATGGACCACAGAGCCAGAAACATTTGTTATCAGGCCCTCTACAGAAAAAATTTGCTCACCTCTGGCCTTATCTGGAATTCAGGCCCGTGCCCAAGGTGGTCACGGGAGGTGCCTTGTGGATTCCAGCATCTCCCCCACCAGCTATGAGCTTCCCAAAGGCAGAAAGCATGGTTTCTACATCCTGTGGCCCCAGCTCCTAGCAGCATGATGCACACAGTAGGTGCTCAATAAATGTTCAAAGGATTTACATATAGCAGTATACTCTGCTTTGTGATTAGGAAGATGTTCTCTGCCTTATAAGAAAAGAACAGTTTGTTTTATTAGGGAGCAATTCAAGACTTGGCAGAAAAAGTTATAACTAAGCAGGCGTGGGAGGCCAAAGACAGTCACCCAGGTGGTTGGTGCAGGCTCAGATGCCCCCGGGGCAGGGGAGTGTAGGGAATTTCTGAAGTGGTTCAGGGGTCAGTGGCAGGGGTGGGTAGGGGCTGTGGCGAGCTGCAGAATCCTGTCCTAAGCGGGATGGGCACCTTGTGGATGTAAGAAATTGCCGCTGTGTGGATCCGGTGCTGCTAGATCTTCCGGTTTTTCAAAAGAAGCCAGAAATCCAGATTTTTTGAAAAGAAAAATTTGGCAACTGAATTTTTAAAAACAACTTGTTTTTTCTTTAAAGCCTCTTCCAAAGCGGGGGAGGAGGGCAGGGAAGGGGAAGGTGGAAGAGAGTAGCACTCACCGAGTGCCAGCTCTGTGTTGCCAGACAGGATGCTTTACAGGGGCCATCTCCTGCTACCGTCACGATGGACTCGTAGGATGGGTATCACCAGCCACGTTTTACAGTTAAGGAAACTGAGGCTCAGAAAAGTTGCTAGAATGGAAGAGTGTCGTCAGTTGAGCCCAGGCTCTGAGCCAGACTGCTTCTATGTGGCAGATCCAGGGTTAAACCCAGGGTTAGGCTCCAGAGCTGAGGCCTCCCTCTTCCTCTCAGCGCTGCCTCCCCGGGTCGGGTCCCAGGACAGAACTTTCACATGGAATTATCTTCAGTAATGAGATGGCAGATCTAGCCTGCCCCTGCCGTGCTGGCCTCAGGGGTGAGGAGTGAGAGGAACACTGGCGTGAACTCTCATCTCACTGCCGCTGCTGTGCTGGGAAGGTGATTCACCTGGCGGCCTCGGTTTTCCCTTTTCCTTTGACACAGGCCTAGCTTCTCTCAATATTTTGAAAAGGCTCCTTTATTTTTTGTTTTTTGAGACAGGGTCTCACTTTGTCACCCAGACTAGAGTTGCAATGGCGCGATCTTGGCTCACTGCAACCTCTACCTCCCAGGCTCAAGTGATTCTTCTGCTTCAGCCTCCCAAGTAGCTGGGATTACAGGTTCGCGCCACCACGCCTGGCTAATTTTTGTATTTTTAGTACAGATGGGGTTTCACCATGTTGGCCAGGCTGGTCGTGAACTCCTGACCTCAAATGATCCACCTGCCTCAGCCTCCCAAAGTGTTGGGATTACAGGCATGAGCCCCCTCGCCCAGCCAAAAAGCCTCCTTTAAAATGAGATATTCTTTACCTTCTCCCTGCCCTGAGGAGCCAGTGTTTTCAGCTGCGGCTTCCAGGTCTGAAATCATCCGCTCCCATCCGGCTGAGCACTAGGATCATGCCACAGTGGCCGCTCTGCTAAACCAAGAAACTAGATGAGGCAGCAAATAGCATTTTGTGGGCTTTTAAAAGTGAAATGGAGTTTATTGATGTAGATTATAAATAAAAGGTGATGGGCAGATCGCCTGGAACGAACTCTCCTGGAAGGGGGGCAGGGGAATGTTGCAGGTTGTCCATCCTGGGCTGCTGAAGGCTGTGACTGTGGAGACCAGGCCCAGCAGGGACACCCCTGAGCCCCCCGCCAAAGTCTTTGAAGGATTATCATGCAGTGCAAGGACTAAGACCTCTGGCTGACTCCGAAGGGCAGAAGCAGGCCCAGAATAGGTACTCTGTGGGTAGGTGGACTCTGGATAACATGCAGAGCCTTGGGAAATGGAACCGGGGCTCTGGGAGGGTCATGAGTGTCCTGTCCCTGAAGGTGTGCACATGGAGGCTGGAGACAAGGAACTTCCACACATCAGGGAGAGGTTGGAGCACATCCTTAAGGTCTCCCTTACGATACTTGGTTCTAGAATGGGTAGACTTCATGGAACTGGGACTTGGCCTGGGTGAGTGGTTGGAATGTAGTTAACCAGGGGAAGGAACTCAAAAAGGATTTTGTATTTGAAGGTCTTTGGGCAGGTAGAGCCTGAGGGTTTGGGTGCTGTGAGCATGGAGGTGGTCTCAGTGAGGTAGCATGTATCTTTAGGATGGAGGGGGCCATGGGTGCCATACCACAGCATTGGTCTGGGAGGTGGTGGCCCCTGGGGTTCTAGTTTCTGTCACATGGAATTTCTGCAGCATTCATTCTGCCATCTGAATACTGAACAGATGACGGTGTCTCTGGAGGGAGAAGGAGGGAGAAACAGGTTCCCAGTAAGCAGGCGATGCGAGCAGCTTCATAGCTCGCCGTAGACCAGGAAGGGCAGACGCTGTTAATCTGTCATCAAGATTTTTCCCACGAAGCCCAGTTGTGACCTTGGAACCCTCCCTTTGGGCCCAACCTTCCAAGCAGTCCCTGTCACAAAGCTGCCTGCGAGATGGGGCATCCCTGCTGCAAACGTTGAGAAGCCGGAGGCCTGGAATACAGGACCTGCCATGCCAGGGAAGGGGAAGGAGAGTGAATGGGATGGGAGTCAGGTGGGAACTGGGGCTGGGCATACATGGGCTGCTAATTAAGCACACCCTACTCTCTGTGCTCGTGCTTGGCGCCTGTTTTCTGGAGTGAAACTATGTCTTTGGTGTAAATGAGAATTCAGTAAGCAAAATTCTCTGGGGAGTTTCTGGGGAAGAAGAGGATAAGTAGGCAAGACCCAAGAAAGAAGCCACCTGCCTCTCTCTGTCCCTCCAGGAGGGCTCCAAGATGGCAGATCCGCGGGCACTGAGGTCAGGGCCAGCGGGAGTCCCTGCAGTTTGGCCGTGACAGAGTGGGGCAGCATGTGGGGAACGAGGGGAGGGCTAGCATTGCAGTCCCACCTCTAGGAAGGCCAAACCATGGGATTACCGCCAGAGCTTTTTTCTAGGCTTAAAAATTTTTCCCCTTATATTTTAAACACTGTTTATGAAATTTTTTACCTGCTTTTCCCGTTTCCCATGTTGAACAATTTTTCTAAGTTATTAAGCACTCATGATGTAATCGTTAATGGCTGCATTCATTGTCTTTTTTGTTTTGTTTTATTTTCGCGACGAGTCTTGCTCTGTTGCTCAGACTGGAGTGCAGTGGCATGCTCAGCTCACTGCAACCTCCCCCTCCCAGAATCAAGCGATTCTCCTGCCTCAGCCCCATGAGTAGCTGGGATTACAGGCATGTGCCACCACATCTGCCTGATTTCTGTTTTAGTAGAGACGGGGTTTCACCATGTTGGCCAGGCTGGTCTTGAACTCCTGACCTCAAGTGATCTGTCCCACCTTGGCCTCCCAAAGTGTTGGGATTACAGGTGTGAGCCACCGCGCCTGGCCTCATCATCTGTTTGTCGTACTTTATCCCAGGCCTGGGCCCTGCCCTGGAAGAGACTGAGGCCCATTGTGTTCTCAGGGGGCCCAGGCCAGTGTTAGCTCTGCCCATACCCCCACTTGTGGTTAGTGTTTGTTCACCCATTCATTCACTCAGCAGATGCTGATGGGGGCTTTCCCTGTGCCAGGCTTCATACTGGACTCTAAGCAATGATGCAAAGAAGGAAGTATTCTTACCCTCAAGGGGCTTACGTTCTAGAGGGGAAAGAGAGAAAATATGCATGTACACCTGTCAGATGGAGAAAACCAAAGCAGGGAGGAACTTGGGTGGTCAAGGGAGGTGTCCATGAGAAGAGGGTATGTGAGTGAAACTGGCAGGAGGCAGGGATAAGCCATGTAGGTATCTAGGGATGGGGAGCTGCAGGGAGACCTGAGCAGGCGGGGAGGGGAAGGAAGAGCAGGGGGAAGAAGGGGAACCAGAGGCCCAGGCGGCCAGACTACGAGGGCCTTGCTGGCCACTGGCTTTGACTCTCAGGGAGGTGGGAAGCTGTGGAGGTTTTAGCAGAGGGTGATATGGGGTCTGGGGATTTACTTGGTCATTCTGTGTACTGTGTACATTTGCGAGGTTTCTAGTACGGGGCTGTGATAAATATAGCCTTGCAGCAAGTGCATTCATACAGAAACCTTACTCTGCATTTCCTTTCATTGACTAGGGATAGATTCCTAGAGATAGAATTTTACTACCAAAAAGTTGAGCAACTTTAAGATGCATACTCCTTGTGGCCAAATTATTTCCCAGATTAATTGATTAGTTTCCCAGAAATTATTATTATTGTTTTTTAAACCAATTTACACTTCTAATGTGGTAGCCTTGCTGACATCAAGGCATGTGGTTTTTCAACTTTGGGTTTTTTTGGGTTTTGTTTTTGTTTTTGTTTTTGTTTTTAAGAGACAGGGTCTTGACTTGTCACGCAGGTTGGAGTGCAGCGGTGCTATCACAGCTCACTGCAACCTTGAGCTCCTGGGCTCAATCCCCAGTCCTCCTGCCTCAGCCTCCCAAGAAGCTAGGACTACAGGTATGCACCACTGCACCTGGCTACTTTTTTCATTTTTTTGTAGAGGCAAGGTCTCCTATGTTGCCCAGGCTGGTCTTGAACTCCTGGGCTCAAGCGATCCTCCTACCTTGGCCTCCCAAAGTGCTAGGGTTACAGGCATGAGCTACTTCACACAGCCTAACTTTGTTTGTTAAGTTTGCTAATTTAATAGCATGGGAAGGTGATCTTATTTCTTTGATTATAAGTGAGATTGAACATTCTTATGAATTGATTATTTGTATTTCATGTTTTATGGTTTTTTGTCTTTTGCTTATTTTATGGTTTTTTGTCTTTTCAATTTAGATGAACTCTTTAAACCATTAGAAATCACAAATGAAAGTGCTTTTTAAAAAATATCAAAGCTTTATGAGCCGGTTCCTTTACTTTTTTGTTTTATCTTATTTTTTTTTGAGAGAGGGTCTTGCTTTGTTGCCCTGGATGGAGTGCAGTAGTGCGATCACAGCTCACTGCAGCCTCTGCCTTGGCTCAAGCAATCCTCCCACTTAAGTCTGAATAGCTGGGACTACAGGCACTACCATACCTATTTAATTTTTGTATTTTTGTAGAGATGGGGTTTTGTCATGTTGCCCAGGCTGGTCTTGAACACCTGGGTTCAAGCAATGCATCTGTCTTGGCCTCCCAAAGTGTTGGGAGTACAGACTTGAGCCACTGCCGAGTCTATGAACTGATTCTTAAAGAGTAGCTCTGCCTCCCCACAATGTGGACTGCAAAATGCTGGCTGGCTGTGTTGCTTAGTAGCAAAAAGGGTTGCATGCTGCTACAGCTCTCTGTTTCTCCCCAACTCAAGTGCTTGGATGTGGGACTGTGCTCCCCTGGTGTCTGGGGCTCTGGGAAGGGCATTTTTACTTCCCTGTTTGCAAGAAGGGTTACATCCTATTCCATGTCCAAAGTGGACACTTCTTCCTTTGCTCAGCATCCCATGAAGACTCGGTGGGTTAACTGCTCTGCCCCTGGGAAGTGGCTGTGGCCAAGCACCGCTCCATGGACTACAACCTGCTGGTCATGGAGCAGCATACGGTTTTGCCTTCACTTTTGGGAAAGGGGCTAAGATGTCAGGGTATACTGTCCTTAATGGAAATCCACTCTTGTTTCAGGGTTTGTGGGATGCAAATCTTAGTAGGGTCAGACTCCCTAGAAATGGATCCTTCTCATGGTTCTATTGGGTCTCCCCTAAAATTAATGCTGTAGGTGGGAAAAAAATAAGATATTCTTTGGGTACCTTACTCTTAACTGAGCGTGTCTTACCATGGGCCAGATTACTATCTCCTGGTCTGGATGCAGGTGGTGAGGGGTGTGGAATGTACACTTGAGTATCACTTGTTCAACCACAAGACCATAAATGGCTCCTTGTATTGGGCTCCTTAAAATAGGGCTTATTTATGTTGTATTCCCTGCCATTAGGCCTGGTACAGAAAAAAAGAGAAAATCTACTTCATAGAACTTGTAGATTCTAAAACTCTAAAAGGTGCTGCTTAGACTAAATATAGTGGGTTATCTGTTAGCTGTGATCTTGAAGCTGTTGTTTGATTTTTTTTTTTTAAATCTGTTTTAATACCCAAACTGATGGCATTGTGAGGTTGAGTCAGTGGATGGTTCAAAATGGCAAACTTTAAGTTTGTGACTGTCTCTTGATTCCACTGGTTTTTCCACATGTGGGTGGCTATTTTGAGAGCTGTGATTGCCCAGACAGCCCCAGCTCACAGAATTGCCAGAACATTTGTGATTGTTTAGAAATCCTCTCTTCTTCTTCATCAACTGGGGACACAGATCAGGATTTCAAATGCCCCTTTCTCTGTGGCCTTCCCCGATGTACCCACTGTCTCCAATTAGGATTGATTACACCTTTTTTTGGTGCCCCAAATAGACTTCTCTTCCAGCGCCTGTCACAGTTTATGCATTAACTTTAAGAAACATCCAGGCCAGACATGGTAGCTCATGCCTGTAATTCCAGCACTTTGGGAGGCTAAGGTGGGAGGATCATTTGAACCCAGGAGTTTGAGACCAGCCTGGGCAATATCATAAGACCCTGTCTCTACAAAAAATGAAAAAATTAGCCGAGAGTGGTGGCCTATCTGTAGTTCCAGCTACCCAGGAAGCTGAGATGGGAGGATTGCTTGAGCCCAGGATTTGGAGGCTGCAGTGAGCCATGATTGCGCCACTGCAGTCTAGCTTGGTGACAGAGCGAAAACCCTGTCTCAAAAACAAACAAGCAGAAATCCGGTTTCCCTCTAGAAGTAGAGCTCTGGAGTCTTTGATTCCTAGTATGGGGCATGGAGTGCTGTGGGTACTGAGGGAGTGTTAATTCTGTCCCCGCCGAGGCCCTTTCTGATGCGTGGTGCTGCTGTTTCTGTAGAAATCGTGGATGGGAATGTGAAGATGACCCTGGGCATGATCTGGACCATCATCCTGCGCTTTGCCATCCAGGACATCTCCGTGGAAGGTGGGTTTCCGCTTTGTTCCATCCTGCCATCACCACCCCGCCTCCCTCCCTGGGCTTAGCCTGGAGAACTCCTGCACCCAGGGCAATGGACATTCATCAGGGGCCGTGTCCTAGGCTTCTTGCTCATTTATTGGGCATCAGCCCTCTCTTCCAGTCAATGTAGAAAAAAGAACTATTTGCCATTCTGATTATCATAGGTGTGTTGGCCCCAGGGAAACTCCCCACTTTGGGAAAGCCCAAGGCTGCCACGGGGAAGTATATTGGAAAACCCACCTGGCTCTTGGGTCGTTCATCTGAAAGGGTGGGGAAATGCCGCTGGGAGGAAGTGCCAGGAGGGGTGCTAACCCCGTCTTCTACTCTGCTCCCCTAGCACCCTCTAGTGACCACTTCACAGATCTACAAGGGCCGTCACGGTCTGGAGAAGTGATCTCTACATTTGGTTCCATACTCGGGCAGTTTTTGAGCTTTATGTCTGCTATGCATGTATTTATCTTGCATAATATTTGTGTATTGCTGTGCGTATGATAAAACACACATACTGAAACAAACTTTTACAAGATGAGATGGAGATAATATTTTTAAAATGTTTGTTTTAATGCCATAGACATCATAAACATTTTTAGTCAAAGGAATTTCTTAATAAAAACAACGTGGATTCAATTCAGTTACTTTGTGATGGAGATGTTGGTTTGACACTCTGTGATACAGCAATGCAGGGGTCCAAGTTCAGTTTATGGGTACTTGGTATTTAGGGTTGAAGTGGTTGGAAAGAGGGTCATAGTAGTCACCTGGCGTGTGGTTCTTGTTAATGACAGTGGAAGTAAATCCATTTCTCAAATAGCCTTCTTGATGATTTTGATTCTTTTGGGTGGACTTCCTGTCAGCTTTGAAGTCATCATTGTGTTACTCTTATGATTTAGCTGACGAAGAGCTTAAGCTAAGTAGAAGCACTAACTTTGCCAATTTTTAAATTGTCTGCTTTTGCTTAGGTGGTTATGGTCTTTGTAGGAACCCTTGAATGTCATTTTAAAGTCCATTTTGTGCATTGAAAATAAATGAGATCATTCATGAACCCAGTTCACTGAGTACCTTAACCTCCAATTCACAGGCATGAACACAGGAGTATATTAGTCAGTTTTCACGCTGCTGGTAAAGACATACCCGAGACTGGGTAATTTATAAAGAAAAAGAAGTGTAATGAACTCACAGTTCCACATGGCTGGGGAGGCCTCACAATCATGGCGGAAGGCAAGGAAGAGCAAAGGGACCTTTTACATGGCAGCAGGCAGAGAATGAGAGCCAAGGGAAAGGGGTTTCCCCTTAGAAAACCGTCAGATCTCGTGAGACTTATTCGCTACCATGAGAACACACCCACCACTCAATTATCTCCCACTGGGTCCCTCCCACAACACATGGGAATTATGGGAGCTACAATTCAAGATGAGATTTGGGTGGGGACACAGCCAAAGCATATCGGGGGGTAATGTGGTTTGCAGTCTTTCTTCTGTGCTGGGAGCTCCGTGAGTCCCCTCAGTTGCCTGCCTAAACTCACAGACACGTGGCTCCTTCACACACACAGGGCAGCAGTATTGATCCATGAAGTAAATATAGGGAGACCTTATTTTTTATTTTTTAGATTAAAAACAAAATCTGTCTAGGAGTCCTAATGCTTTCTTCTCACTCAGCTGTGTGCACCCCTCAGGCTGTGGGATCCCCTGTCTGGAGACCCCTGGATGTGTAGATTTCCCAGATCAATCAAACCTTCCTCCTCAACCTGATAGAGGTTGCTGACTTATTTTGTATCATTACCATTTCTTTGAATAAAAGGAGTAGGGGGAGATAATTCTTGAAGTTGGAAAAACTGTTATCTCAGAATTTATATGTATAGCACAACTAGCTCTGAAAAACTTCCCAGCTTGCTTTTTCTGTTTCTCAAATAACTTCTCAAACTTTGTCAAGGGAATAGACTTGATGGCCAGGGCTCCTCCTTCAGCCCTCTGAAGGAGGGTTGGCATCAGGGGGTCACAGTGGGGCCTCCATGAGCCGGCATCCCTTCCTCCACCGAGTCAGCCCTCTGACCTCGCTGCCCGTCCCCTTCCCCACAGAGACTTCAGCCAAGGAAGGGCTGCTCCTGTGGTGTCAAAGAAAGACGGCCCCTTACAAAAACGTCAACATCCAGAACTTCCACATAAGGTGAGTGCTGGGGGCCGAGGGGCTCTCGCAGAACCAGGCTGCCTCCCCCGGGAGCTCCCAGACCCCGTTGACTGGCTCAGTCTCAGCTTTAGAACAAAGTGGAGACTGTTGGTGGAAGAAGTAGCTTTCCTTGGGAAGGGGGTGTCACCATCCCTCTGAATCGCCCCGTCTTTCTCCCTGCAGTGTCTTAGGGCTGCTGCCTGATATAACTTTGGTTGATGCTTTTGCTACTGGGAGCGCCCCCAAGGAAATTGTCCAGGAAGTCCCAGCCCAGGGCTTTGGAACAGAGCCATAGGCCTTGACTGGGGGTAGGGCTGGATATGGCAGATTTATCTCAACCTGCCAACCCCGCCACAAAGTCTTGACCCCAGTGCCTGGGATTGTGGCAGGAACAAATGTCCCTTCCCGTCCTGTCTTCTGACTCCTGCCCCAGAAAGCTCTGTGTTCATTTCTCTGGAGTCCAGGAGGCCCCTGCTTTGCCCTGGTCAGTGCTTGGCTGCCCGTTTGTTCAGCCTCATTTACCAGCCTACCCCTTCTTCTCTCTCCCCGGGCAGCTGGAAGGATGGCCTCGGCTTCTGTGCCTTGATCCACCGACACCGGCCCGAGCTGATTGACTACGGGAAGCTGCGGAAGGTATGTGTGCCCACCTGACCTCCCACTTTGGGTCCCTGGCAGGTGGGGTGGGAAAAGAGCAGGACTAGGACCCTTTCTGTGACAGTCCATGGTCCAACCTGAGCAGTGTTGGCCTCTTAGAATAGCCAGACAGAGCTCCAACTGAAAGTGAAGAGAAAAACACCTTCCCTGTTAGGGCAACTTCATTAGCCTTGTGCGTGGTGTGTGTGTTCTTGCACACATACACAGCCCACCAGGAAAAATATCACAGCTGCGGCAGCAGCTTGGTCAGAGGGATGGAATGGTACATGACGTTTCTCCTTTCTGTTTTTCCGGGACTTGTAAAGAGGAAACACATATTCTAAGAGACAGTTCATCCCCGCCTTGTCCTTGACTTCCTGTGCTCCTGGGCAGCTTATCCTATCCATGGATTTGGTTTCCTTTATTGCTGAAGTTTGGCTAGGGGATTTTCTTTTGGTTTCACTCCTGCCTTCAGCATGAAGCTGCAGTGATTTTTCTTGAGTGGATGTGTGGAGTGGGGACAGATGTGGGAGTGGGAGCTGTGTTTCTAGCCTCGTGGTGGTTCTCAGTGTCTGAGCTGGTTGGATGACATTGCCCTGGACCTTGGAGAAACCTGTCCTGGACCCTCTGCCCACACTCTCCAGGTTCCCTCCTGGACCCTCTGCCCACACTCTCCAGGTTCCCTCCTGGACCCTCTGACCACACTCTCCAGGTTCCCTCCTGGAC